ATTCCAAGTGTCCCTTAGCGAATGTCAGGAGCGCCTGGTTGCGCGCATTTGTCCAATATTTCTTAATACCACGCTACTCACTCGATGTTAGTAACATTTAATATTTAATCTCAATTACAGAAACGTACCCCAACGTAAACAAGGGAAACTGTGATGGACTTCTCTGACTGATTAATCGTCGTCAGTCAGTTTTAACCCAGCCAAGTCCTTGCCGCACCTGAGTCTTGAACCCGCGAGCTATGGTCATGATGCGTTATCAAGTCCAACGTGCCACCAATGTGCAGTAGATGTGCAATCCCATGAGATGTTATCCGAAATTCTAGAATACGGTTTCAGTACGAAATGATTACTTAAGTACGATTGCAATATTTATTCTCGTGTGGCGTGATCCCTATATATTTCAGCCAGACAAGGATGCCGATTTTTAAACACGATTCTTTCCGGCTGCCTGCATAAAGTACACTCAGCAAAAATAACTACTAAATTGGCATAAATTTTTCCCTCATGTTTGATGTTCTTGGTTTCAGTACGCTAAGGGATGTACTGAGGAAACAAACCACTCGCATTTACGTCAGGAAGCTTCAGAAAAATGGGCAGAACTCGTGTCATTGTTATCAACAAGTGCCTACCGTGAGTGACCTAACTTGTAAAACTAAATGACAGAAACTGATATGAGGATTTTCGGATGGCGTAAATGTCTCGCATTCTGATCAGACGTCGCGCGCTTCCAAGTTACTGTAATTTTCGTCAACAGATATGTCTACGTAAATTTATTAAGCAAAATACTCCTAAATACGAGCGAAAATGGACATTGTGATATAATCGGACATTTTACCATGCTGACACGTCTGAGTGTGTTTTTCTTTGAAAGGGATAAAAGAACTTTTAGAGTTCTTCTAACAGAACTGTCTGTCCTTGGAACTTGATTTTCTGTACGATGCTAACTGTGACAATCAGATGGTTAACACAGGGGTTATTTTGAGAGAACTGAGAGTTTAATGGTTTTTAAATTAAGACTAGCAAATCTGGGCGATTTCGTGTCCTACAGTGCGGCACTAACGCACACAGGCAGTTCTTCGCTTAAATAGGCCGAAATTGATTAACAGTTTGAAAAATTATTCGGGTTGTCACAGAATTGACTACCACCGAATAGTCATTTACAGTTTTGAACATATGGAGCATTACTCTCTGCACCGTCTAGCTTTTGCACATTAGCAATTTAGAAGTTGAAAGGGCAAAATATTTATAACTTCAGCAAAATACCAGCGTTCACGTTGGCACTCTGCTGTGCATTCATAATCCTGGGCCGCAGTCCGTAAGTAACAAAGAAGTAAAAGTGGCCGCAGTCTAAAGAGCAAGATCTGTACTTCCGTTATCGGTGGAAAAATATCAGTATTTTTTTAGCGACATAGAAGGAACGGCCGAAAGTGTCAATTTTTTCTTGGCTCCACCATGTAAGTTTCACGGATATCCATCAAGGGGATGCAGTATTAAAGCACTCCTTAGACGGCAACTTACGTGCAAAGGTTTTCGGAATGATCGAAAGTATATTCGTTGTTGAAGTTAGTTGTGGGCGTTCATTATATTCAGTTTTGAGGATTCCTGTTTGCGTAAGCTTTTCCGCGAGAGCCAAACGACCATCTACACGCAAAAGAACGTCCAATCACTCAATACCTCGTTACATGGCTTCAAAATGTAGTTTATTGTGAAAGTTTTGTCAAACGCACAGTAAAAAGCTGTTCTTATGGACTGACAATACTGGAAAATCGTGAAGTATTCAGCGACATTTCAGGGTGCATCTGAAACTACACGTAATCCAACGACCCTATAAATACCTTTATTCCTATGACTTTCATGTCGGCGAAATCATGCAAAATACTGTTAGCCGTATTTAGACGCACACTGCCTAATGCCAAAGTGGAAAGATGCAACAACCTCTCGGAAAGGCGTTTTCAATCTGCACTCCGTATCTAGGCCGTCAGCGAACAGCTGGAGTCGTTTACCGGATCTGGTGCAGTTGCGGAAAAAAGTAACTACGGCGGAGAAAGTGGCAGACAGCTCCGGAACGCGCGGCAGCCGTCTGGAGAAATGACGCCAACTCTCAGGTCGCGGCCCATTCGGCGAGACGCGGGCACATATTCAAGTTCGATGAGGCCGAAACTCTCCTGAGAGGAGATACTCGCGTGAGCCGCGAGTTGCTTAGGTCATGGTTCACGGGACCTCAGTCTATCAACAAGTGCAACGACATCCTCACTCCATATTCCGTGCTGCGGCATAAGTTAGCCAAAGCAATTGACAACTCGGGGAGCCAGATTGCTGAACAATCATCACGGCAGCATTTAACACGGATGATAAGATTTCAGCAACTAACGACTTACATGCCGGCCTTCAAGCAATCAACGCACCATCGGACAAAAATTCTTCATGAAAGGGAGCGCGGTTAATTGCCATAGGTATGCGGTAGCATAACGACTGCATCCTATAAATACTGCAACTTCCTGTGCACGAGTCGCCCGTCTCTGCCACTGTCTCTGTTGATGGGTCCGAGTGAGAATCAGAAACGTCAGGCGAACAAAGCCCTTGTACCAGCAATCGACTCTTCTTCTGCTTATAAGAAAAACCCTTGAGAGCACAATTTATCATCAGTCTGAAATCGGGAAGCCGCCGTCACCAGTTCACAGCTGATGACGTGGGAGGATAATTTCCTGACTGCTCATGCCCAGACGTTGAAGCCTCAGTTTCTTCAAATGATTTGTCGCTGAAGGATATCCGAGTTGAGATGGCTAAACCAAGTATCAGTCGACTTCTATCGACGATTGCCAACGGCGATGCCCGTCATGTGTCCCAGGACTCGGAGATTTGCGGAGAGCTTGTGGTTGCTTCATCACATTTTCCTCTTGGAAATCACTGCTTTTCCTGACTGTTTCATTACTCGGCTTGCTTCAAATCTGTTTCATATAAAAAACCAGAGGTGAAGTATTTGCCTAGATGAAACGCCTTGTCGTTTTTTTAAGTAATATGCACACCGTTTCCTCCCTCCAACACTGTCAGCGTCTCCCTGTTCCCTAACGCGTCATTGATGCATCTGAAGAGCACTTTCGGCTTTCCCGCGGTCCATTCTATAATTCATCGTGCCGACCGACTCTCTGGTTGTGCCTTCAGTGAAGTCCTGCGTAATGCACGGACTGTGCTGTTACTATGTACTTCCTCCAAAATTTGCTCTTTCTGTTTACCTCTCTCTTCAGTCAGGGTGCATAACATAACCGATGGCTTCTTCGAGAAGTTTACAATCGAAGGCCAGATCAGAGGTAAGCACGTACGGTCAGTTTACAACTGATAATTCCCTGTAGCCATGGCTGAATTCGCAGCTAGTTATCTCTCCGTCCTTCTTGTCCTTTTGAAACCATAGCAGTTTTCATCTTGCAGTAGAAGTGGAGGCGTGGATATTTTCACCAAACAACACTGGTGCGAAGTTACAAGCTCCTGTTTTCATACTTTGATGAGTCGATAAATTTTAGTGCTGTGACAAGCCAGGTATGTTTGTTTAATATTCTTTAAATGCAGCATATTTATTAGCATTTATACTCGCCCTCTATCCGTGAAGGTGACTTAACCAAGTTGTAAGACTTTCGAAAAAAATTGTTTTATTGTCTTGTGAGCATCGTCTTCTCTTATGCGGCGATTTTGGCTGTGTCGCCTTGCGCCCTCCTTACACTTTTGGGCTCTGTCGACCTTGTTCCCTAAGTTTCCGACAAGCGTTCCCCTCAGTTAAATTGATATTACCCGCTTTATATTTTTCATGTTTAAAATGAACCTCAGCTCTTTTGGTCAGGTCAGTCTGTTCTATTAGGCCTTCAAAAGATTTACTCCACTTCTAATTGCGCGTTGACAACCAGATGTGACTGGGCAAAATGGTTCACAACACTTAACCAAGGAATACTTATCTGCTTCGGATTCCTGCAATAAATACCATTCTCGTCTTTCTTAGAACACACAATGTTGAATAATGTTCCAGCTGCCTTCGAATGCGCTTAAATAAGACTCCTAGTACGCTTTGTCCTCTTAAATCTGTTATGGTTAGACTTAAGATTATTTCATCCCCAAACCTTAAGTATTCAACTCATTAAAAGCAACTCCCCTGCAAACCTAGCCTACGTGACAGTCTAAAATCGTTAACGTCCTACTAAAGAGAAAGATTGCCAGACTGAACGACCTGTCCGTTATTTAGCCTTCTTTTTACTTTTTTGACCCCTTCTTTTCCTATTTCTTCTTCTGACATCACTGGAAGACAAAGCATGTTGACTCATTTTGACTCCAAATAAGACGAAAATTTAAACAAAGTTTTAATCCTTACTCCCAATGATTCCAACCTCCCCTCAAACGATGTTACGCCATCACCGTGTGTCTTCGCACTAGTGTCTGTGACACCAGTGTAGAAACATCTTCAAGAGATCCGTGAATGAACGGATGCCGAGTCGAATATTCCCACACAAAATCACCTCAAATACCGTTCTTCTCAGTCAGCACATCTTCTTTGCATACTCCTCATGAAATGAAGGAAGTCTGATGCTTGGCATGATGTAAGAACCGCTTCTTTCCCTAAAAATCTACTGAATTTGGTTCAAAGTCCTCCGTCCAATTGCAGCCTTCTCCGCATTCTAACATTATTTCAACCTTTCATCAGTTTGAGTTAGCGTCGTGTATTGACACATCAACGTCCCGTTTTACCACCTATGGCGCGATACCTAACATATGTATATAGAGAGACCGAAATGCAGAAGCTGGGATTAGGACTGGTCACATTATAGTTGTACGGTTTTTATGCAAACACCTTTATCCTTCTATCACTTGTTATTTTATATTAAGGCAGCGGGAATGGAGAAATACTTGCTAAACATTTGGAATAATAATTTAAAAATAAAGAATATTCCTCTTTTCCTATCTGATTTTCTCAAATATTAAAAGTCCGTCAACTTTAAAGAAAGACGAAGACACGATCATTAGGACGGTAGCTTTATTGGCATTTCGAACTGATGTTCATCATAATCAACATCATCATCATCATCATCATCATCATAATCACCATCAGCATCATCATCATCATAATTATCATCGCCATCATCATCAGCAGCAGCATCATCATCATCATCATCATCACCACCATCAGCATCATCATCATCATAATTATCATCGCCATCATCATCATCATCATCATCATCATCATTATCATCATCATCATCATCATCATCATCATCATCATCATCATCACCATCATCATCATCATCATCCAAAATCTAAACACTCCTATTTCCCGTGCCACACACGTTCCAATTTTTGCTGAACAAGTGGAGTGATCGTTAAGTTCCCTGGGTGGGACTTAATTATAGGCAACACGATAGGAACCCATTAGGAATTGCTCCCGGTCTATCAATCAGTAACCCCACATAAACTCATAGCACTGGCCACGAGGACCGAGATTTCTCCTCAGTTGGCACCTAGCGCATCTTGACGGCTTCAAAACGCGTCGGATTTATTGCGATAAAGAATGCACTAAAGTGTCGCGGAGATGGAGTGCACACAGAGTCGGGTTTACTATTTCTTTAATACGCCAGTCGGCTGCGCGATCATGACTAAAAATGCAATCATCCCTTCTACTAACATCGACTAGACAGCTCTTCTCATTCTATTGAGTTTGTGGGTTGCCGAATTGGGTTATAAGGGCTAGGTGGGGTGAAAGCGTGCGTGAATAGGAGGTAAGCCATGCAGGTGTGATGGGTCGTATCATGCAACTGGCGACTTCTCTATACGGACCTCAATGGATACCAAACCCGCCTTTTTGGCCCCCGAAACTAGGCTGTGCATGGCAGCGCCATCCCGGTTAACGCCTTGATTGGCGGACTAAACAAAATGCGGGTATTCTGCACTGTGTTTGTTCCTACATCCGGCAGTTATGCTCACATTCCCGCCGCTTACTTCCACACTGTCAAAAAGCATAAGGTTATGGGATGTACCCCGGCATGTATAATAGTATACAAGACTGGCTACTGCAATTACTTTAGTAGGTGCTGTTATGGTACTTTAATCTTGTACCACATAGACCTGGTCTACGTGTTTCACTGGCCTGCACTATTGACCTTGCAAACAATCACCCCGAGAGCCAGGCCCTGCATGAATGCCCATATAGGCTCGTTATTGTGCTCTTCATCCGGACGTGCTAGGTTTCATGCGAAAGCTTTGTCCGCAGTCAACGGCATATCACTGACTGAGTATTTTGAGATTGGTAGAGGGGCGGTCACCGATTATTTCTTCGGAATTCACTCGTTCCGTTATGCCTTAAGGGCTTTCTCTCGAGCCAAACCAGCAACCGCGCATGGGCGCATGATACAGGCAGAATGACATTACCTACAAAGACTAGGGAGAATGGAATGACCATTTCTGGCATATTCAGTTCAGTTCAGTTCAGTTTATTTGAGGGAAATATAGGTGTTAAACCTTTGAACTCCCTATTTGTTACAAGGAGGCGGACAATAAAAAAAATTTGAAAATTAAAACATCAAACGGCTACAGAGTTTCTTTAGATTGGCAACGTTTTGTAAGCCAGACAGATAAACGAATTGTTCCAAGAGTTAAAAACATTAACGTTACTAAATGTGCTGTACAGTAGTCTGTCTAGGGATAGTTGGTGCTATCTCAGTTTCGGAGGGAGACGAATTAAATGCGAACACTCATTTAACAGACATGGGACAATATTAAAAAACAAACGTTACTGAAATATAGGAAATAATATAACAACATTAATAAACTGTTCGAACGAAATGGTAGACGATCTGTCAGGTGGCATTATGACGATTGGTGGCAATCTGGTCCAAGTTGCGCTTAAAAGCCCCGACGGAGGTGGACATGACGCACCTGCAGGCAGAGCATTCCAGGCCTCGATCACTCTGTTTGAAAAGAAGAACTTCTGAGTGTCCAGCTTGGCACCAGTTACGCGTAGTTTAAGTGGATGACCTCGGAGGTTCGTTGTGGTCGCTAACTCAAAGAAATCAGCAGGTACGAGACAGCAGTCGTGCCCGCGCAGTATACGGAATGTTTGTATAAGGTCGCCTCTTAGCTGTCTGTAACTCAGTGGAAAGAGACCGAGATTGGACAATCGGGTTTCATAGGGTAGTGAACCCTGTCCACCTAGGAGTTTAGTTGCCCGCCTCTGAACTTTCTCGAGGATGCTGAGATCTTTAGAGGTCCACGGTTTCCACGCCTGAATGGCGAACTCTAGCTGTGGCCGTACGAAAGTCCGAAAGACTTTAACGAAGCAGTCCTCATCGAAGGTAGAGAAAGCTCTCTTGACAAGATAAAGGACTGACATCGCAGACTTGGCTACCTTGGAGCAGTGAAGCGACGGTTTTAGAGAAGCCGTTACCCACACCCCCAAGTCTTTCTGGGCGTCTACCTCGTGCAATGGTACGCCGTTTAGGTGGTAAGCCCTCCGGTTCAGAGATCGGGTCCAGCCGACTCGCAGGACATTACACTTAGTCACATTAAACGGCAACAGCCAGTCCTGTGACCACTTCTCGAGTCGGGTCAGGTCTGCCTGCAAGCGCTCTTAGTCAAATTCAGTTCGGATGACGCTCCAAAGTTTAACATCATCAGCGAACATGGCGACATCACAATTCAGTTCGCTGACGCAGTCGTTGACGCATATAATGAATAGGGTAGGGCCAAGAACGGAGCCTTGTGGAACACCGCTTTCAACCGCTACCTCCGCCGACTGCCTGTCACCGACGTGGACGATTTGAGAGCGACCGATCAAGAAACTTTGTATCCACCTCAGGAGATTCCCCTTCAGGCCTGTTCGGTTTAATTTGTACAGGAGACGCCGTCGTAAACCAATCACTCATAACCCTGAAGTGTGGAACACCTGGGACTCAATCCCGCAACCTGTTGGTTGGAAGTTCAACGTCCCTAACCACGAAGCCACTGAGCTGAGACAATTGGCTGCTGTGAACCAGTTACACCTGGCTTATCAATTGTTTGGCAGATTCTCGGAGTACACCTCTGCCATGTGGGACAGGAAGGTTTCCCGTGATTGTTTTGGGCTGACGATGTTTAGTCCAGACCACAGACGATACTGTGTCTCGTCGATGTGGGTCCAGACAGCTCGGTCTGACACAGAAACGCCTTTATGTTATCTTCTTTTCAGGAGACTCCAATACTTTTCACATGCGTAGGTATGTCAGCCTGTCGTCGCGTCCTCACAATAACTGTTCTGGTTTGCGGTGAAATATGCAATGCTCAATGTTAGGTTGCTGCCTTCAATCCTTGAACCTGTTCACAGTGCCTCGGTAATACAGCAACGGTAACATATGAAATCTTAACCGTCAGTGTGTTTCCTGAGGACTTGCCATCGCATTTTCTAGCAGCATTCACATTTTCAACTTTTGGGCACTTGTCCTCTGTCTTGGCAATATCGCAGCAGCTTATCGCAGTTCAGCATTTCCATCATCTCGTCAACTGCCGTTGGTATGTCCCACTGAGGTTGTCTGCGTTTTACAGTTTGTTCAGGGTGTGATCTGCGTTTAAAAAATAAAATCAGTTTACTGTGTACAGTCACTTCCTACAATTGAAACTACCATCTACATATAGATATTGATTTTTATATATAATGGTAGGGGGCGCTCACCGATCGTTCATACGGAACTCACTCGACAAACTGACTTCATGTGTTTCAACATTCAGATTGAATATTTGTTTTACGTGCTGAAATCTTCGCTATACACCATAAATTATTTTAATTACATATACCTATATATCTATTTGTATGCAATGTCTCCTTGCCTTTTCTATTTACTCCTTCTGTCATTTATCTTACCTTGCTATCTATCCTCCTTGCTCCCCGTCTGGCATTTTTTGCGGATTCCTGACAGTTATTGCGTCTCCTGGTATAGTCTTCAATCCGCATGATTTGCACTTTCGAGAAACGCCTGTGGCCAATTACCATTGGCTGCAATTTTTCTTGGGACCTAAGCTTTCGTTTCTCAGTTGAGCGCGGTTTATTCGCATACCTGAATTTCCTTGACTACCGCTTTCGGATACTTATTGAAATGTTTGGACTTCCTTCTGCTCATATTCCAAGCGCACTAGTAAATTTTCAATGTAATTCTACTTTTTTCTCATTTCGGAAAAGGAAGATGATACTAGCGTTGGGACAAGAACTTTGTTCGCCTGACGTTTCGGATTCCTGTCCAAACCCATCATCAGAGAGAAAAGCAGACACGGGTGCTTCATGCACAAGGGGCTGAAGTATTTATAGGATGCAGTCGCCATGCTACCGCATGCCAATGAATATTCACGGCTCCCCCTTCATCAGGGATCGTTGCACGTGGTGTTATGACTGCTTGGTGGCCGACATTCGCGCCGTGAAATGCTGCAATTTCATCGCGTGCGTTTGATGTTGGTGTGGTGATTTCTGGACCATCTGACCCACCGACCCTGGCGTTGGGAACAGTGTTCACACGTACGCTCCCGATGTGGCTAATTACTCTGTCTAGGCGAAGTCTCAGCACCGAATACACAATGGGCATACCATTGCCTTTGTTAATAAATTGGGGGATAGTGAATCATTTCTCAAGCCAGAATCATAAAAGGCCAAACCAAACGAACTCCAAATTTTGGCGAGCGCCTCCGTATGTGAAGAAAGTTTATAAGGCTGTTAGCCGCCTTCTCTCGCCACAAGGGGTTGGAGTTGCACACAGACCGGAGGCAACCATCAGACTTCAGAATATGAGACTGAAAGACCCTCTGCCACGACAAGAAACGTCTGGAGTCGTTTATCGGATCTGGCGCAGTTGCGGACAAAACCTGCGCGGAACACTGTCTTCTCTAACCCAGCACATTCTTCCCTAATTCAACGAAGGAGGCTGCAACCTCGATGCTCCATCAACACCGCGGCGTTGACAGCAGCTGGGTTGTGTTCTCCCCCCGGGGGTGGGGGGCTAGATCGGCAGAAAGTGTTGGTGCTCAAAATGATCTGTGACGTCAACGACTGCAGGTATCATTGCCCCGCCTACCTACTCGTCTAGAAGGACAGACTGTCGTACCGAAGCAAGAGGTGGCCTTCTTCAGATATCACCGTCTTGTGCAGCAGCGGCTGTGTGAGAAGTATGGTGCCTTAATGGATAAGAAGGTCGAGGAACCCCAAAGGTACGTTGAAAGCAATGAGGCAAAATCGGCTCCGGATCCAGACACCGCTTCTTTCCTTACAGAAGCCATCAAAGCCGTGCAACGGATTCCAATCGGGAAAGCACCGGCGTCTTACGCGATCTGAACTGTAGTCTACAAGACTAGCTACCTCATGTGATTAGTAAACTTACGACGATATTCTGAAAGAACACAAAGAACAAAGAACACAAAGAACAATTTACCAAGGAGTTCAGTGACGCGAACGTCTCAGCGGATATCAGGAACACCGACGTCTACCCGAAAACCAGTGTGTCATCAGATGATACCTTAGAACAATCGCCATGACTTTCCCCGCCCGGTAAACTTAGGTAGCTTGTTAGGAAATGCGGAACCAAATCGGCACCACCTAGAGGGATTTGACTAAAACATCAGACACAGTTAATTGCTGAACTTTGACTGCCCGGAGCGATTCCCGCACATGATGCCTCGGATCGTTAACAGGATGATGGCGCGCGCGTCACGGGCAATGGGACCGATTGAGGGGCCTTCCCGAAGACCAATGGAATGAAGGAGGACTGAGTTCTTCGTCATCCCTGCACCAATCTTCACGACATCGACCACCACCATCACCACCACCACCACCACCAGCACCAACATTAACACGGTCGCCACAGGTGATCACAGCCCTGACGCCACGACGGTTCAGCCGATGCCATTCATAAAATAAACCACATGTAATGCCGAGACAAACGTAATTCACTCGGATAAGGACGAAGATAACATACGACAGTTCAGACGATTTGCAATAAACAGAATACAATAGGTCAAAGTACCAGTAAAATCCCTGGCCTGAATGCGACAGATGAATGACAAATGAAGAAAATACAGTGGCTGAGGTGAATACAAATTTTCCTCTCATCATGCATTGAGGGTGGTTATCGCAGCAGTTGCGACGAAATAACCACATTTAAATAGTATTCATAAATATTTTATTTTACAAAATATAAACACACGGGACCCAATGCAATAGAGAGATCTAAATTAGGTATAGTAGGAATTGCTATCTAGTATAGAATATCAGTTGAGCAAAGCCATTTCACACTCTGCATAATCACTAAATCGTAGAGGAAGATGTCGTATGGACACACACACGATGTGCATGGGTTTTGTGGGGGGTGATTTTGCTTGCAAGCCATGGATACGAATATCACCATACCGAAATTCCACTACAGACGTCCTCTCATGTATGCGCTCAGGCGAGATTGGAGGGGCAAGGCGATATAGCCGGTGACATTGTCCTGATGTTTCAAGGAGTACACGATCCCAGCAGGCAACTCGAACTGAAGACCAATCCTATGCATCACCAGACCCAACCACGCATCGTCAATGGGAATGCGCTTAGTGTAGAACATGGCCAAAGCCAGATCCGCCACGTGATCGTAACCAAGCAAGTAGAAGTACCCATTGCTATAGGGCGCATGCACTGGCCACGGAACCTCCCGTTTCGACAGTGCCCATTTTCGGACGGCCGGAGTGTCCGTGGGACGCACTGTGGGACTATTCCAGCGAGTACTCGAAATGGAAACTCTGCGCCGCCAATCCACCGGCAGACTGGACAGAACGGCCTGCAGGCGTTTCTCATTGAAACCAATGTCATCGTCGAGGAACATGAAGGCAGGACGTTCGCGACAGAACCTGGCCGCCCACACGAATGTGTGATGCATTTTCAGAGACAGATTGTAGTAGGT